GGGATACGAAACAACGAAGGTACTGCTCCAGAGATTGATTGGCACGTTCGGCAGCTCCATTAGACTGGGGGTGGTAAGCGGAAGAAAATGAGAGAGAAATACCCATTTCCGAACAAAAGGCTTTCCAGAACCTGGAAATAAATTGGCTACCCCTATCAGATACAATAGATACGGGAATGCCGTGTAATCGAAACACCTCTCTGGCGAAAACAAGTGCTAGTTCCCTGGACGTGGGCAGCTTGTGAAGAGACACAAAGTGAGCCATCTTGGAAAACCGATCCACTATCATTAGGATAACTGTGTTACCATTCGAGGGAGGTAATTCAACAATAAAATCCATGGACAGGTTAGACCAAGGTCTCTCGGGAATAGGTAACGGATGCAACAGCCCACAAGGAACCCTACGAGAAGATTTCATACAGGCACAAGTAGTACAAGCACCTATATAGTCAGTGACATCCTTGCGTAAGGAATCCCACCAAAAATACAGAGAAACTGCTGACACCGTTTTGGAAATACCAGGATGTCCAGCAGTCTTAGTGTCATGATACAACGACAGAATCTCCCGTCTCTCGGGAACATCAACGAACAGTTTATCAGTAGGTCTCTCGCTAGGTGCCATGTTTTGTTTCGCTTGTATGGCCTGCAAGAGGGACGAAGAAATAGACAAAACAGTGGTAGCGATTATCCTTTCTGGGGGAATCACAGGAGTAACATCAATCTCCTGTTTGTCAGCAGTTTCGAACTGTCTGGACAGAGCGTCTGCTTTAGTGTTGCGGTCACCTGGCCTATAGGTGATAATGTAATTGAAATGGGACAAAAATAGTGACCACCTAGCCTGCCGAGAAGACAGTCTTTTAGCCTCACTAAGGTAGGATAGGTTCTTATGATCCGTAAATATGAGAATAGGATCTTTAGTTCCTTCTAACAAATGTCTCCATTCTTTCAGTGCTAAAATAATAGCAAGGAGTTCGCGATTACCCACATCATAATTCTTTTCTGCTTTGGACATTTGTTTGGAGAAGAAGCCACAAGGATGCAATGGCTTTTCAGGCGACTCTCTTTGGGATAAGACAGCACCTACCCCGATATCAGAAGCATCAACTTCAAGAATATAGGGCAGTGTGGGGATAGGGTGCTGTAAAATAGGTGCAGAAGCGAATGTGGTTTTAAGAAACTCAAAAGCCTGAAGTGCCTCGGGAGACCAGACACGAGTATTGCCTCCCTTTCTTGTCATACGGGTGATAGGCGCTACAATAGAGGAAAAACCTTTAATAAAGCGTCTATAATAATTAGAGAAACCAAGAAAACGCTGAATGGTCTTCAAACCTTGTGGAAGAGGCCATTCCATGACAGCAGAAAGCTTCTGGGGATCCATACGAAAACCTTTAGCGGAAATTAAATACCCCAAAAACTGGACTTCGGATTGGTCAAATAGACATTTTTCCAGTTTACAATAAAGACCATTAGCAAGAAGGGTCTTCAGAACTGTCGTAACATGCCTGTGATGAGTGTGTAAATCTGTAGAGTATATTAATATGCCGTCTAAGTACACAATTACAAATGTGTGAATAAAGTCTCTTAAAACGTCATTGATAAATTCTTGAAATACTGCTGGGGCATTGCATAGACCAAATGGCATAACAGTATACTCGTAATGGCCAGATCTAGTGTTGAATGCCGTTTTCCATTCGTGGTCTTTCTTAATACGTATTAAATTGTATGCACCTCTAAGATCAAATTTAGTGAATACAGTAGCATGTTTGAGTCTGTCAAATAATTCCGTGATTAAAGGTATAGGATATGCATTTTTGATGGTGATTTTATTTAGACCTCTATAATCGATACACGGTCTTAAATCACCTTCTTTCTTTGATACAAAGAAGAACCCCGCTCCAGCCGGAGAAGAGGATCTCCTAATAAACCCCTTTTCTAATGATTCCTTAATATACTCCTCCATGACACGGTTTTCTTGAACAGATAAAGGGTACACCCTGCCCTTTGGAGGTATTGTGCCAGGCAATAAATCGATAGCACAATCGTAGGGTCTGTGAGGTGGTAATTTGTCAGCCTCCCTTTTATCGAAGACAGTTTTGAGAAATAAGTACTGAGAGGGTATAACAGTGGACAAAGGAGGAGTTGTAGGGACATTAATAGAATTCAAAGGGGTGACTTCAATAGTACAGGACTCATGGCAGGCATCGCTCCATGATTTTATTTGCCCTGACTCCCAATCGAAAATGGGATTGTGAGTACGTAACCATGGGTACCCTAACACAATGTGAGAAGAGGGAGATGTGAAAACCTGGAATCGAATGGTTTCAAAGTGTAAAACCCCTGTATACATGTGTAATGGTACAGTTTCATGAGTAACAATTGGAGAACTTAATGGTCTACCATCTATGGCCTCAATGGCCAAGGGTATCTCCCTTTCTCTGACGGGAATGTTATTTTTCGTAACAAACTCAGAGTCAATAAAGTTCTCAGCAGCCCCAGAATCAACCAAGGCTAATATGCATTCTGCTATACAACTCACCCCCATATGAAGGGAAACAGGGAGAAGCAAACGATTAGGAGGCAATTTAGGAGACTTAGAGATCACACCCAAGGCCAGTCCCCTATAAGGTCTTAGGTGCGAGAGTTTTCCGGACGCAAAGGACATTCCCTTACCATATGGTCTCGCCTACCACAGTATAGGCAGAGTCCATTCCTTCTTCTAAGTAGTTTTTCAGTATCCGAGAGTTTGGCAACCCCTAATTGCATGGGTTCCTCCTCGGGTACTTTAACACTCTCAGGTTTATCAACTCTAGGGTTAATAGATGTGACCAGACGTCTATTCTTGTTTTTGGTATAGAGCCTGTCGCGAATTCTATTATCTATATCAATGAGGTAGTCAATAAGATCCTCTAATGGAATAGGAAGCTCCCTTGCCGCTACCTCATCTAATATAGTGTCAGATAAACCTTCCATGAACGCAGTAGTTAACCCATTATTGGTCCAATCTACCTGTGAAGCAAGGGTACGAAACTGAATAGCATAATCCGCCACAGACCTAGACCCCTGTTTAATCCTCATTAATGCTCTTGCGGCATTCTTTGACCTCTTTGTTGTGTCAAAAGTTCTACGAAAAGCCGCAAGAAAACTATTGAAACCATTGGCCTCCCAAATAGGATTTGCCCATTCTAGTGCTTTGTCAGTAAGTTGATGCATCAAAAACCCCACTTTAGACCTATCAGTGGGAAAGGAATGAGGATACATCTCAAGGTGGAATTCTATTTGATTAATAAAACCTCTGCATGTCTTGGCTTCCCCTCCATACCTAGGAGGAGGTGTTAAATGGGGCGAAGCATTGGTTGAATTGGATACTTCGGGAGGATGAGGTGTAGGAGGGTTCGGTGCGGTTGCAGGAATGGTTCTAGACAAGAGCGTCTGGAGAGCCTGTGCTATCTGATCCATACGGTGATCCTGCTCTACAAACCTTGCCTCGTGAGAAGCCATTTGCTGAGCCAAATCTGCGGGGTCCATGGCCCTATCGTAATGTAACGAGAATATACCCCAACACGCAGGATTCAGCTAAACAAAAGACAACACAGAGGAGAGATACGTCTACCGGACCTTAGAATGGCCGGACTCGACGTATATGAGAGGAGACAGAGTCAGGAACAATCCGAAATCAAGGGCACAGAGAGACAGCGTAAACTAGGACAAGCCGGGGTCTGGTACACAGTAAACAACAAGCCGACAACCAGAACAGATAAGGATAAAGAGAAAACGTAGTCAGAAACAAAGCCAAGGTCAATACGGAGAAACACAACTGAACACAACAAGCGCTAAAGGGAACTGATACAGAAACCACGATAGGGCAAGGAACAAAGGAAAGAAGGTGAGTATAAATACCTAAACATCTAATTTGATTGGTCCCTGTCACATCCACGCCCCCAAAAGGTAAGTGTATGGGGAGTGTGGCATGACAGGGACCAATGGGATGCCTTTTCCAATTTAGGCACCCACTGTCCCTTTAAGAGCGCGCCCGATACCCGCGGCGCGCTCTTAGAGTAGGTGGAACACGTGACCGCTACTAGTCACAGCGGTCGGCTGAGCCGCGCGCGGCTCGTGCAGCAGCAGGACCGCGCGCGGCTCGAACAGAGGACCCCGGCCGGCCCCTGGAAAGGGTAAGTACCGCTACAGCCCTATTGCACCATGTGATCGGAGATACGAGTTCTCTTCCCAAACAGGCGATTCTGTACCGGGATTTGTTCGGACTCATGCAATAAAGTGTTTGTTGTGGGTTTCTTTCGTTGTGGGATTATACACACTAATGATTTAGACTTTACATAATAGTACAACAAGGTTAAGGTAAGTTTCTCGTACACAAGGGTACCTCAGTAAAAGCAGTTAGCTTACATGTAAAGCATTTATTAGTACTGAATTCGATAAATAAACTTTTTTTATTATTATTACTATTGTTATTTTGGATTTATTTCACAATGATTCACACTTAAGAATCATGTGGGGTGTTCATGCCTCTCCCTGCAAATCTTTTTTCCCAGGCTATTTCGGTTCTGTTTATGTGAGTGAGTATACCACTTTGGGAGGAGGGGTGACATTAGAGACATTTTTAGTCAAACAGTATGCACTATGGATTTGTGTTTTTCTTTTGTAATATTCATTCATAAGCATACACTTTGTTATATAAGTATGGTTTTATTATTTTTATGCACTAAAATCAAGTTGCACTTTATTGTAAAGGATGCACTCTGTTGTACACAATTTTTATGGTATTCTTTGCACTTTAAAAATAAGTAGCAATTTTGCACATTTAAAATAATTTATTTAGGGGGGCGGGGCCTGACTGCCAACAGGATCAGACGCGCTCTGTCTGAGCTCCCGCTCCTTGGCCCAAAAGTCGGAGCAAATTGGAGGATACCGTGACCAGCAAACCCCACCAACGTCCACACAGACCCCCAGTTACTGGGGAGAGCGGGGATACCACATGGGAATCAGTCCGGCACCGATAGTAACCTGGCTGGGCTCGGAGCTTGCTGGGGCTTGAGCCAGGATGGGACGGCCACTCTCCCCGGTCTCCTGACCGGCGGCTCGGGGGGGTCATCCCGCTCCGCAGAGGCACTAACCAGCGCACCAACATGGGCCCATTTAACCGCCCTGCCGGGGAACATCACCGGGGCGCCAGTCCGTAAGATGGTCGCCGCCATACGAGCTGGCTTCCAGAGAGAACAAGCTGACGCCTGCTTAAAATGAGGAATCCAACGCAGCTAAAGAGAACACCCACTATTATTCCAGCAGCACGTTACAAGGCAGTAAAGCTTATGGACACTGCAAATGGGAGCATCTAATGTACCTGAATATTGCCACGCTGCCCCCAGACCACTGAGAACACTGAGAAGGTGATGCAGAGGGAACCATCTCCCGCCTACAGACAAATGCACGAGCGGGAACCATTCATCGGAGCAAGGACGGGGAGATCCACTAACGTCCCAAACACCCAGCAGCCACCCAGGTCGAACCAAACAACTACAGGGGGCACAGTGGATCCCTGCAAATAGCCTGTCTAACACATACTTAATAGTAATGTTAACGCTTTAATGACATAACTAAGCATGCTGATGTTTAAATGACAAAACTGACTAAGCCTGTTATACACTGAGAACTTCCACTTGCCCAATCTATGCTAAGAACGCAGAACACACTCACACCACAGACAGAAGAAAAGCTAACAAGTTAAATGTCATGCTTATCCACTGTCCTTACCTCCTCTAACAAAATCTAAAAAATGTGCTGTTTACTCATACTCCACGTTAAGTCTACTATGCCTGTTACTATACTGCTTGTGAATGCTATTGTGGCTGAGCAAGCTTACTGTTATACTATGCCCAACAGAAAATAAAGAATTTAAAAAAAAATAAAAAATTATTTAAAATGTATTCACTTTTATAAGGTCTCTAGCGCAACACTGATTATGATTGATGATCCTGAGACATGCATGCATATATGTATATTGCTTGCTGTTACCCTTTAAGCAGCAGACTTAAAGATTTGTATTATTACAAGCTGCAATTTGTCAGAATTTGGGCAATCCGGTGTTTGTCCAATTTCCTATTTTCCCAACTGCGACATAGACTAATCATGGAACTAATGACTTGTGCAATGGATGTGCATGTTCGTCTGATTCATAATTCGGACTTCTGACCATGGCACCACAAAGGAGACAATCGATGGAGAAAAAAAAAAAGATGATTGATTGCTAGGGCACTGCCACTAATGTTAATTTTATTCACAGATCAGGTGAGAAGTGACCAATATAGAGAAAATAAGGAGTAACAGTAAAAAAAATCTATATTTATATATCATAAATTTAATTGATATATATACATATATAAATATAGTTTGTTTGTTTTTTATTGATAGTCTTCTTTTCCTCTCTATTGGTTACTTTCTCTCACTTGATCTTTTAACCAAATTGTGGGAATAATACATATTTGCTGTTTTATTTTTTTGGCCCATTTGCACATGTTTTTGGTTCTTCTGATTCATTTATTTTTGAGAAAAGAAAATCAGAACGAACCACATCATGCATAAAATTCTGCCTTCCCAAATTCTTTTTTATTGGTAGTTTGGCCAAAATAATTTTTTCTGTTTTGCACAAGTCTATTAAGTAGTTTTCTTAATAGTAGATAACAGTAGATAATGTAATCTGCAAAATATACTTTCTTTTTTATTTTTAAAGAGACTTGGCATATTGTTATTAAAAGTTTACCTTTTAAATGGTATTATTGTAAACATTAAAGACGAGGAGCAGATGGTCAGCATAGGTCCTTTTGCTGGCCTGGACATAAGATCTGAGCGTTATTTTGTCTTTTGTAGTTTATTACATGATAGACAGCTGCATTGTGACCTTTTATTCTTTCAAATGTCCTCTGTAAGCCAAATATAATTTGAATGTGAACTTGTACAAAATTAGGATAAACATTTGGCATTCCAAAGTTATTAAAACAATTGTCTCGGTGCTGTAAAAATAGAGATCTCTGGTCAAATTAAGCATTTTATTTTTTAGAACTTACACGTTCTATTCTGAACTTGATCAATGGATGTTAAAGGATCTGCAGTCTGTCATAACATTAAAAAAAAACATTGGGTTTGATGGCACATAAATTAGTTCGTGGATCATTTAATTAGTTTTAGAAGATATATATATTTTTTAAACTTTTTCCATGCATTCTTTTGTTTCCTACATTTTTAGATTGTAATAAAAATAATAAAATGAAAATTTAAGCATCCTAATCCCCTTCTATAAAATATTACAGCCTTATGAAATAATAACATATTTAGTGCAGATGTGTTGTATATATTATTATTAACCAACTAAAAGTTATTATTATTAACCTAAAGTTTATTTAGCAAATTCTCCTGATGGTGACTGCCCTGCTTGAATTACAGTGGCCGTGGGGTGCAGAGGAAGGTAGGTGCCGTCCTCTTTAGCTGATGGTCTTTTATTTGCCCGGATGACAATATCAATATCACTGCAGTAGCACGGTGCTCTCGCACATGATGTACTCGATAGAAAGAGCCTTCGTTCTCTCAGCCATTACTTAGGGGCTCTGACTTTTAATAGTGCCACCTTTTGTCAAGTGTAGGAAAAATACAGAAGACAAAATAGCCCATACTTTGTCCTACGATATGTTTTGACCGAGTTGGAACTTTAGTGAAATTCCAAAATTATCTTTATGAGGCAAAACACAGAAATTACAGGGCGCCACATTCACCAAATGAGTAAATAAGGGTTAAAGCTGAAAAATGAGTTAAAAGTAACAAAGTTTATTCAGAATAGTACATATATTATCAGAATCAAAAATGTGCAATAATAAAAAAAAAATATATATATATATATATATATAGAAAGCCTTAATAGGCTAAAAAACCCATAGGCGTAGCAGTTCTAAATAACGTGTAATCAAAAAGTGCAAATGCTAAAGTGCAGACAGTCAGACAGGGTGAAAGACCATAACTCCCATCACTATAGTAGTTGACAAAAACAAATACTGCACACAGAATCTTTGCAACGAAAAAACATGCTTTATGAGGCAGCTTGCTCCTGCCCCTGTTGTTCAAATGGAACACACGTAATTTGAAAAAAATGAGGGCAGTGCTACAAGATGCAATAGTGCTCAATCCAGTGCTAAATGTGATTTATTGAAGCGTGATACGTTTGTACAGGGGTAACCTGAATCATCTGTATATATTGTTCTTCGATAAAGCACATACCAGTTTCCTCTTTAGGATTTATGGGGAGTTTGTTTTTGTTAATGGCTTAAAGTTGAAGTAATGGCAGATGGTAAAATTTTGCACCTAGCATGGAATGGAGTCGATAACTAGAGCTTATTATTCTCAGTGCGAGATGCTAAAAGTCTCATCAGCCAACAATTACGAGTCTCTGATGGTACAATTTTGCATTCTGGAAAAAGCCGCAACATCCTCGCATCAGTGGCAGACATATTAGGCCTCAATTTAATGAGCTTTCAAAATAATTCAGTATAGATAGAAAAAAGTCTATGGAAATATTTGTAGATAAATAATTTGGAAGGTTTTTCAAGCAGTATTGAACGATCCATTAGTATCTAGAGTCATTCGAAGGTTATTTATTTCACTGCAGATTTTGAGGTCATCATCCTTATTAGTCAGTGATTAAATAATTAATTGCTGAGTATAACAGTGATATCTCAACATGTGTATGATATTTCAGGCACCAGCATGAGGATCACAGATTAATCCATAAAGGATAGGGATATCCAAATGTATAATAGCAGAGGAGAGTTTATGACAACACATAGATACATGTTCAGGTTGCCTTTCCCTACACCCCCCACTGCAGTCCCTATACCCCCAACTACAGTCCCCAATCTTTAAACTAGAGTCCTCTATCTTTCCACTACAACTCTCTATCTTTCCATTACCGCACCCTATCTTTACACTAGAGCACTCTATCTGTCCACTACAGACCCTATCCCAGCAACTCCAACCCCTATCTTTCCACTACAGCCCACTACTAGTGCCCCTCACAAGATTAGGTTCTGAATCTGTCCCTGCTTATACGGGACAGCAATGCAGGTGGCTAGCTCACAGTAATAATGTTTCAGCAGATCGATACCTGGCCTAGCCACTACTGCATGAGTTGAATATATCTTATTGCACACATACATTACATGGCAGCCTTGGTGGTTCTCGACATTGTACACAGTTTGGCAAAAAATGCCTAGTGTCTAATCCATGACTAGACTTCCACAATGCAAGCCCTCGTATGTGATACACAAAAAGCACCACTGAAACACTAGCTAGTGTTAAGGAAATTTTGCACTTCTAAACCATGTTCAAAACTTTGCATGTTAAAAAAATAGCAGCACTGTAAGCTGGGCAACGGACTGCGTTGATCGATGCCTTTCTTGTTCACACCAAGGCTCACAAAACTGGGGCCTACTACAGCCAACAGACACAAGGCCTGTAGACAATTTTCAACAGCCTACTGAGGGAACATGACACAAGTGAATCAATCTCCCAACTAATGACACCACAGCCACACACCCTACCAATGGGGCGCCGATCACCAAAACCCGACAGGGCATCAGAGTTATACTCCAATGACCGGCAGCACCAAAAAATCTGCCGATGGAGATCCACTAGAGTGAGGAGGCACCAGCTCCCTCGCCACAGAGTGCTAACGGGGACACCTCACCCCCACCTCAATCAAAGCACCCAACGAGCCTCCAACTAACCAACAGCTCAGCCCCGACCACCAAAGGAGACCCTAAAATCCTCCTCTTGGATTCACACAAGATGATGGCGGCAGACCAGGCACTACTCAGAACTGAGATTCAGTCCAATGCAGACCGCATAAAAGCGGCGGAGGAAGATCAAGACCACACAAGCTACGGTGTGCACCTTAAGCAGCTCTGCACAACAACTCCACACCCAGTAGCTCAATCTCTCTCAGAGGAAGGATGACTAACCTCGAGGACCAACAACATCGCAATAATATTAAGATTAGGGGTGTCCCGGCCAACATAACAGCAGAGGAACTACCTCACTATACCCGGAGGCTGCTGGCATCCATGCTGCCACCCACAGTGGCCAAGAAACTTACCTTAGAAGGAATATATTGCATCACCAACACAGCTAACTCCTCTCCCACAATGCCAAGGCA